TCTGCCTCGGAGTGTGGTGGAGGCTCCTTCTTTGGAGGCTTTGAAACAAGAGACTGGGTGGCCATCTGTCAGGGGTGCTTTGAATGCAATTTTCCTGCTTCTTGGCAGAGGGTTGGACTGGATGGCCCATGAGGTCTCTTCCAACTCTATGATTCTATGAAAGAGAAATGGATGTAATAACAAGCTGAAGCCATCCATAACTGAACAACGGCAAGATGATGCCTTGGCACCCAGAGCATCATCCCACCATCCCTTACATCCATTCTTTTTGAAAGCTCCCTTTTTGGAGCAACATCTGCATCTTCTGCCTAACCAGATATTGGGAGACCTTAACTATATGCAATCCCAGAAGACCTCACCGTTCTGAGCATTATCTGCACCCATCCACCTACCCATCATGACATCAGTGGCTATTCTTTATAGAAGAGAGAGCAATGAGGTGAGTACAAGACATACTGTTCAGAAACTGGGCACAAAAACTGGGTCGGATGATGATGTCTCACTCATCTCAAACAAGAAGGCAAGATGTTCCATCTCAAAGTGTTAATTCCACTGTGATCCCTTCCTGTCCTTCCCTTCTTGAAAGCCCATACCATTAGGCTGTTACCTTTTAGTTAAAAAGAGGTCCTCAACGTGGCAAACAATACAAAGAAGTCACTTCCAAAAGAGGTGAGAATTTCACCTTGTACTTTCCTCGCCTTATTATGGGAGAACATTGGGAACATTGCTTCATAAACATGGGTCATTGAAAGAAGAATCAGAAAGACACGGACTCATTAGATAGATAAGAACCAATTACCTCCAGTACAATTAGAACCTAGACAGATACATCTATGTTTTGGAAGGTGTGTGTGTGTAAGTACATGTTTCTTCTCCTTCCTGGTTTTTCTATCCAAAAAAGATAATTTTTAACAACTGGTACATAAATCCTGGAGGATCTACACCACAGAATTACTCCAGTTTGACATCACTTTAACTGCCATGGCTCAAGGCAATTAAATAAAGAGAGCTGATGTTTTACATACACTTTAGACCAGTGGTTCTCAACCTGTGGGTCCCTGGGTGTTTTGGCTTACAACTCCCAGAAATCCCAGCCAGTTTACCAGCTGTTAGGATTCCTGGAAGTTGAAGGCCAAAACATCTGGGGACCCACAGGTTGAGGACCACTGCTTTAGATTCTTCTGCCAAAGAGTGTTGGTGCCAATGTATTGTTGAAGGCTTTCATGGCTGGAATCGCTGGGTTGTTGTAGGTTTTTTTGGGCTATATGGCCATGTTCTAGAACATGGCCATATAGCCCGAAAAACCTACGACAACCCAGTGTTGGTACCTTTCCAAACTAATAATCCCAAAGTTCCATAGCATTGATAAATGGCAAATAAAGTGGTATCAAATTGCAATAATTCTACAGTTTAGATGCAAACTCAGACCAGTGGTTCCCAATCTTTTTTTGACCAGCAACCACTTGAACAGGGACCACTTTGATCAGGGACCACATTACCAGGGACCTCTTAGACCAGGGACCACGTTGACCAGGGACCACACTCCAACATTAGTACCAAAAGGGCCATGAATCCATTTTTGGTCAACTTTAGATTCAATTTGGTTAATTGGGGTGCTGATTCAGAAAAGTACATTGGATAGGCCACAGCTATAGTTCCTGATACAAGAACATATGCCATCCAGTACTCATCATTTGCTCACCCACAGACAGGCATGTAGCTGGGGGGGGGGGGGGGGGGGGGGTCCTTGGGGGGCTTCATCCCCCCCCCCAATTTTCATGGTGGTCTGCGAAAAGGCCTTACTGGTACATTATTTAAACTGTTATGTTTATTCATATCATGATCTGATCAACATGCTCAATATATCTCATATGCATGGGGGTATTGGGGTATTGCTAGGGTAGATCCTCTTTCACTCAGACTCAGCCCCCCCAATCAAACTCAGCCCCCCCCCAATCAAAATCCTGGCTACAGAAATCCATATTTAATAATTGAGAGCTGATGTGGAAGTAATAATATTTCATTAGTAGCCAGCCTCTCCCCTCCCGACATTCCCGATGCCTCGGCACTATAAGAGGGTTTTGTGAGACCAGTTACTCTCATTGCCATCTGGTTTCAAAGCAACAGTGTAGTAATGGTGAGACCGCGGACCATATTTTCATTCTTGCGGACTACTGGTGGTCCACAGACTACAGGTTGAGAACCATTGTCTTAGATCAGTAGTTCCCAACCTTTTTTTGTCCAGGGACCACTTGACCAGTGTGTGCCAAGTTTGTTTCAATTCCATTGTTGGTGGAATTCAGAATGCTCTTTGATTATAGATTAACTATAAATCTCAGAAGCTACAACTCCCAAATGACAAAATCACCCCCCCCCCCCCACCAATCATACCAGTATTCAAATTTGGGAATATTGGGTATTTGTGCCAAATTTGGTCCAGTGAATGAAAATACATCCTGCGTATCAGATATTTGCATTAGGATTCACAACAGAAGCAAAATGATAGTTATGAAGTAGCAATGAAAATAATTTTATGGTTAGAGGTCACCACAACATGAGGAACTGCATTAAGGGGTCACGGTATTAGTAAGTTGAGAAGCACTGCTTTGGACATATAAGATCTGAGATTCCACCTAAACATTAGGAAGAACTTCCTGATTGTGAGAGCTGTTCAGCAGTGGAACTCTCTGCCCCGGAGTGTGATGGAAGTTCCTTCTTTGGAGGCTTTTAAATAGAGGCTGGATGGCCATCTGTCGGGGGTGCTTTGAATGTGATTTTCCTGCTTCTTGGCTGGGGTTGGACTGCATGGCCCACGAGGTCTCTTCCAACTCTAGGATTCTGTGATTCTATGTAAACAAGACTTATTAGAAAAAACAACAATGCTTTGCAAGCTAAGAGGCAGTAGGAAAGCAGGAAGACCCCACTACAGGTAGATATAGACTTGCAAACTGAAAGCCACAGCTTTGAGTTTGCAACTCAAAGACCAAAGCAGGACAGTGGATAACAAAGTGACTCGAGTTCACTCATTCATAGAATTGCCATAAGCTGAAGTCAGCATGACAGCAGATAACAAGAACAGCCTGAAGCCTTCTGAAAAGACAGGAGAGTCCATCTGTTGCAAGATGAACAATACCAAACGCTGTCGCACTTTCAATATATCCTGTATTTTGACACATAAAAATGTGCGACATTTAAAATTCATCCACAAAACCCTGCGTTATAATAAATTTGATAATTTCTAAAGTGCCTCAAGATCCTTGAATGAGGAGCCTGAATATTTCTTTCTTGTTGTTCAAAGCAAATAATCAACATCTCCCCACTTTATCCCCTGACATGAAAATGGCAACAGAATGCAAGAAGACTCCTGAAAGGTGACATTCCCTCCTTCACATTGCTGCACATTTGCACAATATTTTGGGTTTTGTTCAATGCCATTTCATTCAAGACTCCTGAAAGGTGACATTCCCTGCTTCACATTGCTGCACACATTTTCACAATACTTTAATTTTGATCAATGCCATTTCATTCAAGACTCCTGAAAGTTGACATTGCCTACTTCACATTGCTGCACATTTGCACAATATTTTACTTTTTGGGCAATGCCATTTCATTCAAGACTCCGGAACGTTGACATTGCCTACTTCACATTGCTGCACATTTGCACAATACTTTAATTTTTGGGCAAAGCCATTTCATTCAAGACTCCTGAAAGATGACATTCCCTCCTTCACATTGCTGCACACATTCACACAATACTTTAATTTTTGGTCAATGCCATTTCATTCAAGACTCCTGAAAGTTGACATTGCCTACTTCACATTGCTGCACATTTGCACAATACTTTGGGTTTTGTTCAATGCCTTTTCATTCAAGACTCCTGAAAGATGACATTCCCTGCTTCACATTGCTGCACACATTTGCACAATACTTTAGTTTTTGATCAATGTCGTTTCAAGACTCCTGAAAGTTGATATTTCCTACTTCACATTGCTGCACATTTGCACAATACTTTAATTTTTGGTCAATGCCATTTCAATCAAGACTCCTGAAAGTTGACATATCCTACTTCACATTGTTGCACACATTTGCACAATACTTTAATTTTTGATCAATGCCATTTCATTCAAGACTCCGGAACGTTGACATTGCCTACTTCACATTGCTTCACATTTGCACAATACTTTATTTTTTGGTCAATGCCATTTCATTTAAGACTCCTGAAAGTTGACATTTCCTACTTCACATTGCTGCACATTTGCACAATCCTTTAATTTTTTGTCAATGCCAGTTCATTCCATACTCCTGAAAGTTGGCATTCCCTCCTTCACACTGCTGCACATTAGCACAATACTTTATTTTTTGGCCAATGCCATTTCATTCAAGACTTTTGAAAGTTGACATTCCCCCCTTCACATTGCTGCACACGTTTGTGTAATGCTTTGAAAAAATAGCATCATATGAAAAACTGTCAAATAATTACAGGTTTTCAAGAGTCGCCAATACTAATACCAATACCATGGACAGAGAATTGTTAGATAAAAGTCTCTTTCTCCCTCTCTCTGAAAAAATATCACCAATTCTCTCAGTTGGATTCTTGTTCCAGAAGCTGAATTTCAGAATCTCTTTTCTAATTGCTAAATTTAGAAGAATTCTGTCTGAATGTGAATAATCTGAACATAGAAAAGCTAATGCTGTTGTTGAATTTTAACTAATGGGAATGGATTCCCAAGTGAATGAAGGAGAGAAACAAGACTGCCCTTGAAAGAAGCTACTTTGCCCCTCTAGAAAGCCCAACCATTAAAAAATACTTTCCAAAAGACTTGAAAGTATGTTTGAAATTTGCACTGAATTGGAATAACTACCTTAAGGTGTAAAACCAGAACATGCTGCCTCAAGACAACTCGATTATCCCCAAAGACTCCAACATTTTTACAATATGTTTTTCATTTCATACCTCTAGACATATGATAATATGAATAAAAAAAGTTTTTAAAAGTTACCTTGCCCTTTTCTCACTTCTTTGTCCTAGGTTTCTTACTCTGGAAGTCGGCTACCTTTGCTAATGATGCGGTCCTTTCAAAGATCAGAAAAGACTTTCTGGTGATCACTCTTTATGTAGCATCTTTATTTCTCCTATAAAGGTACTCCTTGTTGCTAAGAGATCGGTTGCTAAGAGATTTTTTTTTTGGTGGTAGGTCAGGGGGGCTTTTGTAGCCGAAAAGAGATTTTTGTAATCTAACCTCTGAAGGAAAAACTGCACTTAAGCCAAATATCCAATGATAGATTTGGGGGAGGGGGGGGGGAGGAGGAAAGTAATTCAAGAGAGAAGAATTCAACCTGTTGGAACTCGTGGAAATACAAAGAGGTGAATTGGATACAAAAGAGGGAAAGCAAAGAGATGGGGTTCATCTGGGGCAAACTCAGCATTATACACTGGGCCAAGGAATTAGGTGTTAGAATTTATTTATTTATCATATCAGGATAAAGGAAGAGGGGCCGACCAAGGGCAAGATGGATGGATGGCATCCTTGAAGTGACTGGACTGACCTTGAGGGAGCTGGGGGTGGTAACGGCCGACAGGGAGCTCTGGCGTGGGCTGGTCCATGAGGTCACGAAGAGTTGGAGACGACTGAACGAATGAACAACAACATCATATCAGGAGCAAACCAAGGTTACATTTGCATTGTATTAAAAAAAACCACAAAGTTTGAAAACTTGGCATTATGGTACATGTCCTTTGATCAGAAGCTGGCCACTTGGAGTGCCTCTGGTGTTGTTGTGAGAAGGTCCTCCATTGTGCATGTCGCAGGGCTCAGGCTGCATTGTAATAGGTGGTCTGTGGTTTGCTCTTCTCCACACTTGCATCTCATGGACTCCACTTTGTAGCCCCATTTTTTAAGGTTGGCTCTGCACCTCGTGGTGCCAGAGCGCAGTCTGTTCAGTGCCTTCCAAGTCATCCAGTTTTCTGTGTGCCCAGGAGGGAGTCTCTCATTTGGTATCAGCCATGGGTGGAGGTTCTGGATTTCAGCCTGCCACCTTTGGACTCTTGATTTCTGATAATAATAATACAAGCATTGTTGTTACTGAAAGCAATAATGTTTACTACTTTTTTTGGTAAAGGTTGTTAGCCACCTTGAGTCCCCATGAGGAGAAATGAATTCGGAAGTCCCATAGTAGTTTGGCATGTTTATTTTCTGTAACTTTTTCAGGCTTGTGATCCCTCCAGTTCTTTGTCGCAGGCAGATGGTATTTATGGCACAAATTCCAATAAATCATCTGAGCAACGGAGTTATGCCTCTGCTTGTAGTCTGTCTGTGCGATCTTCTTGCAGCAGCTCAGGATATGATCTATTGTTTCATCTGCTTCCTTGCAGAGTCTACACTTGGGATCTGGTATTATTATTATTTGAAACACAACAAGATGAGTCCACAGCATACAAGATCACTCTGCCGGCTGTTGTATTGGATCACATGTCGGACCCTTCCCAAGTGTCTAGGATTGTGTAATGTATTGGTGAATAATGTGTGCAGATCCCAGTAAGGTGGCCTTCTGCAGCTGGCAGATGGTAATTTTGTCAGTGCCGATTGTGTTTACGTGCAGGCCAAGGTCTTTAGGCACTGCACCCAGTGTGCCGATCACCACTGGGACCACCATGACTGGCTTGTGCCAGAGTCTTTGCAGTTTGGTCTTTAAATCCTCATATCATGTCAGTTTTGCCAGTTGTTTCTCTTCTAACCTGCTGTCACCTGGGATTGCGACATTGACAATCAATACTTTGTTTTTTAACACAATCATGAGGTCAGAAGTCTTGTGCTCAAGAACTCTGTCTGTCTAAATGCAGAAGTCCTAGAGTAGCTTGACGTGTTCATTCTGTGTAACTTTTTCCAGCTTGTGATCCCACCAGTTCTTTGTCGCAAGCAGATGGTATTTGTGGCACAAGTTCCAATGAATCATGTGAGCGACGGTGTTGTGCCTCTGCTTGTAGTCTGTCTGCACGATCTTCTTGCAGCAACTGAGGATGGGATCTATTGTTTCATCTGCTTCCTTGCAGAGTCTACATTTGGGATCTGTCGTCAACTTTTCTATTATTATTATTATTATTATTATTATTATTATTATTATTATTATATCAGTTTCATCTTCAAGAGGGTTCCATTCTCTCAGCTTCAGAGAAAGACCATTGCTAACCCACACTGAGCCAGTTCTGCCAAGAAAATCCTAGGCCGGATTCATCTTGAAGTCACCAAAAGTTAGAAATGACTCGAAGGCACACAACAGGATGTCACAGCAAATGCACAAGCAGTTGCATTGTACAATGTTTTAGCCTTACGGGATAATTGTTGGTGTTACATTCCCTTGCCTCACAATGCATTCACATTGCGATGCAAAGGAGTTTTGCACATGAACCATTGTGACCGTATCACCCCAAGCACATCTCATAAGGTCAGCACAAAAGAGGTTAAACAAAGAATAAACTTTGTGGTTGTTGTTTTCAGGGACATTAAAAAATAAATAAAATGGGATTCTATAAAGGCTTCTTTCATGCCAAAGAATCCCTGGAACGTTGTCTAATGAAACTAGAATAACTGGAGTTGTTGTTCTCCACAAAGATCTCAACTCGAATGTTGTAAATTCTCCAGCCTCTGTAGGCTTTCGAGTCAATTCAGAGATGAAGTAAGTCTAAATTTACAATGGACTTTTGTGTTGCAAAGATGCAAAATGCTTTGCTTGACAGCGAGGGGAGAGCTTTTGCTTTTGGGGGATAGGTAGACAAGCTTAATCATCATACATAACTGGAAACCTGTTCTTTGGCACTTCCAGCAGTGTTTCCAGACACCTATTCTACATTGATATAGGCAGAATGTGGGAAATGAGTAGCATTTCAACATGTGAGAGCATGTTAAAAATCTATTATTTACAAATATAGAGCCTGCGTGTGGGAGAACAACCGTGCTCATGAGTACATGTTTGTGTGCCATGTGACTTCAAGTCACCTGTTGACTTATGATGACCCCAAGAATACCATTGGGCAGGAATGGGCAAACTTTGGCCCTCCAGGTGTTTTGGATTTCAACTTCCACAATTCCTAACAGCCTACTGGAATGGTGGGAGTTGAAATCCAAAACACCTGGAGGGCTAAAGTTACATGGCTGTTTGGATAGGGACATGGTGACAGACAAAGGTGAGTTCAAGTTGACTCCAGGTTTTCTAGTTAATGTAGACAAACCCATAGTTTGATGAAGGTTTTGAAAATTCTGTTGGAGATCCCTGGTCACTCTTTCCTAACCCCAAAAGAGCAACAGTTCCCAGGATCCCATGGGATGATGGAAGGGTATTTATTTAACCTAGTCCAGTCCATTCCTAGCATAGATACTTACTAGGCATGGTTAGGTACCTTTGGAATCTTCGTAATTCAGAATAAATTCGGAAGAATTACCTTTTCAAAATGATTTTGAAGTTTTTAAGAAAACTGGGAGTCCCTTTGCCCGTCTGAAGCTTTTTCTGCCATTTTTGTTGCGACTCATGAAGTGAATCGGAAATGATTCAGCTTTCCCCACTTCTGGTCCCTGGCCTCGGCTCAAGCCAGAGAAGCCAGTTTTAAACCAGAGAAGCAAGGAATTTCCTCCCCTTGCTTTTCCCCGCTTCTGGTCTCTGGCCTTGGCTAAAGCCAGAGAAGCCAGTTTTAAACCAGAGAAGCAAGGAATTTCCTCCACTTGCTTTTCCCCGCTTCTGGTCCCTGGCCTTGGCAAAAGCCAGAGAAGCCAGTTTTAAACCAGAGAAGCAAGGAATTTCCTCCACTTGCTTTTCCCTGCTTCTGGTCCCTGGCCTTGGCTCAAGCCAGAGAAGCCAGTTTTAAACCAGAGAAGCAAGGAATTTCCCCCACTTGCGTTTCCCTGCTTCTGGTCCCTGGCCTCGGGTCAAGCCAGAGAAGCCAGTTTTAAACCAGAGAAGGAAAGAATTTCCTCCACTTGCTTTTCCCCGCTTCTGGTCCCTAGCCTCGGGTCAAGCCAGAGAAGCCAGTTTTAAACCAAAGAAGGAAAGAATTTCCTCCACTTGCGTTTCCCTGCTTCTGGTCCCTAGCCTCGGGTCAAGCCAGAGAAGCCAGTTTTAAACCAGAGAAGGAAAGAATTTCCTCCACTTGCTTTTCCCCGCTTCTGGTCCCTAGCCTCGGGTCAAGCCAGAGAAGCTAGTTTTAAACCAGAGAAGGAAGGACATTCCTCCACTTGCTTTTCCCCGCTTCTGGAGTAAAACAACTACTTTCAAAGTAAAGACCACCCTATGAAACAGGAAATGACACTTTCAAACCATTAACGAAAGGATTTGGAAGTCTCGGAAGTTTCAAAAACTTTTGAACATTTTTTCCTGTGAAAATCGGAATTGACTTTAGAATCGAACCACCAGTTCCCCCTGCATCCGAAATGAGTTTTGAACCAAAACGAGGGGTTTTTTTGATCAAGTAAGCCTAAAACTTACATTGAATACATTTCTATTGGTGGGTTTTAGATTTCAAACTCCTGCTGTTGGCTGTTTATGCTGCCGAGCTGAAACATCAGCCGGTAACCTTTCCCTTGAACCCAGCACCTCCAGTATAGAAGGGATGGAATTAAAATCAACACTTTATTATTTTTTTCTCAAAAAAAGAAAAACCATGATTCCTCTCAAGAGGCATTTTCCAAGCATAATAAGATCCCATCAGCACTAGGAGAAGTGAATTGGGTGAAATTAGCCTCTTTTTTCTTCTCGGCATTAGACTTAAATGCTTCTTTTCAGCAGGGAAGGATCACATCATGATGAGATATTGTATCATTATGTGCTATCTTTATATGCTGATGGACATTGAGGCCAACTCTGTACTGAGATGGCACACCTGTGTTTTTCGGGTTCAGGTAAGGACACGCATGGCTGAATACTTCGGGCATATTATTCAAGAGAAAACTAGCCATGTTAGTCTGGAATATCAGCATGCAAAAGGCATCTTTTAGCACCTTATCAATGAGCTGAGAAAATAAAATTGGTAGCATAAGCTTTTATGGAGTGAATGTATTTCAATGAATCTGAGGCAGTAGACCAGTCTGTCATGGAAAGTATATTCACGCAAAGCAAGTGAACATAGCACTGAACGAAACATGCAGAATAA